CAACTACTGATAAAACGTCGCAAACAAAACGATAAAAATAAAATGTTAATTGAATTTTAAAGAGGGCTTTTTTTTTTTTCTCTCCCTGTCTCTCTTTTAATAGGGGGTTGTATTGTTGCAGAAAGAACAGTTATGCTAATGACTGACTACTTAGCTGATTTTACATTAATATAATAAACATTACCTGTCTTAATGTGTTGTACAGTATTATGGCAAAATAGCTAAGTCTAAAAGTGAAATTCCATTTTGCATAATGAAACAGAATTATAGTTTCCACATGAATAGTTCTAGCAGTGTGGCTTTTTTTTGTTGTTTTGAAGACTGAAATATTATGTCAGAAATGTTTTACACTCCCAGGGTAGATACAGGTACTATATTCAGTATTTTTTTATTTTACGGGGATCAGATACCAGCTGCGGCATTATGCTTTTCTGCTGGATAACATATCAGTGGTTTATCCTTTCTTGTGGTATCACCAAAGCTATTTTACATTGTTTCACTTGAGGTTTTCTGGATTTCATATTTTTTTGCACCTATTACTAATATAGCAGGCGGTTGAAGTTAATGGCTATTATGCTTTGCCTGGCTAGGTCCATTTCTTTTTTTTTCCCCCATCGAATCCACGAGTTTGAACTATTATTCAGTCATTGATTCTTTTTGTGTGTTTAGTTACATTTTTGCTCCCTTTTAACTTTTGGGAATGAGACTTCTATCCAGGAGACAGCTCTCCTGCAATGCAAGCACTTGGCATTTTAAACCTGTCAAAATCAAGCTCACCCCAGATGTCACAAGGGAGGAGGAATATTCTTTTTAATTTAAAGAAATGATCTGAAATATGTATGTTGTATTTATTAGCTAGCAGTAATTTAACCATCTTCAGTAGCAGGAGCATAACATGTAAAACAAAAAAAAAATGGCATTCTCTTTGTTTCTTTTGTGCAGATGTTAACAAGCTGAAATAATTTAGTTAGTCTTTAAGTATCTAACACAAGTGCAAGTGGAAAACTATAGAGGATGAGATAAATCATAATTATTTTCATTCCCTTGACCCTTGCCCAAGTTAGATAAAACAGTGACATATGTGCCACTGGTGTAACTGCATTGTTGGATTTAGGGAGGAACTTAATTTAGGTTGCTTTAAGTTTTCCTTGGTAAGCATTTCCATAATAGAGGGTGTTTTCAGGGCTGGAGAGATGAGCAAGGAGGGAGGGCGAATGTGTTGGAAGCCCGAGAAAGAGCAAACAGCACCCGGAGAGAAACTGTGTGCGTCTGAAAACAATTGTTAGTATTAAAGACATTTTTTGCCGTTGATGGTATTAAGATGTCAGCAGGTCTATACTAGCAGAGTCCCGACAGCCAAAGTGCAGCTGTATTTTTACCTTTAGTGCCAGGTTTGCAGGCAGCTGGGTATCTGCCCCACCCTATTGTTATCAGTCATCATTGCAGCGCACAGTTTATTAAACAATCATCACAATAACAGCAGCAGCAACAGTTCCTTCTGAAAATTAGCAATAAACACCTAAATAAAGGGCGACTTCTGTTCCGCTTGGTAAGTTCGCATTCTTTAAATGGATCTGCCAGGAGTTTAATTTGAACTCCAACTCCCTGAAGGCAGTAAAAACAGAATTATTTTAGTTCTTCATAAACTGCCTTCTGTGATTCATTGTTAACTCATAAAACACACACACACATTTCCATGCACTTAAACGGTTAAGCCATTTTCAAAGTTGGTTTGCAACGTATTTCTTTGTTTTGCTGGCAACACATGCACATGGACCTTCTGGAGAGGGAGAGAAACCTAAAATTAATTTATAGCCCCCACTTTAGGTTTCATGTGTGATCAGACACAATATCAGAGAGAAACATTTTGATCGAAAGTAATGTGCTTTATATTGTGCAGTATCTAAAATAAAGTTTAGTTTTGACTGAATACACTCAAAAAGGGACCCATAAATATTAGAGCGCTGTAGTTAAGAACTTACATGACTGTTTTAAATACTATTGATTTAAACCACTGGCTGGATTTTATGAATCAAAGTGTAATTTCCAAGCTTTGGCTATATTTCTCAATGCTAAAGCAGTCTCTCTTGTGTGCCTTTAGCAGCTTTCCAGACATTCAACACGGGATTAAATGATAGTAGTTACAATGATCAATAGGTTAAGACCGGTACAATCACTCTTACCGCTAATGACCTCGGTAGTAATGGGTAATAAAGTGTGGGCTATAATAGCCTATTGCTGGTGCTGCATGCCCTTTGATTCCTAGTATTACTAGGGACTAGGTACATGAAAAAGTTGGACGTTGGGAGTTAAGGGAGTGGATATATAGGCCATAATTCTTAACTGTTTAAAGTCCTTAAAGAGGGCTCTGTATTTTTTTTTTTTGACACAATAGTTTCTGCTCCGTTTGAATATGTTTGTGAAAGGTTTCCATAATTTATTTTCATGATATGCTGGAGCAGAAACTTGGGGTAAATCTAACTTTTATTGCATTGATAAATTAGAGGCCGAGCCCTCGGCAGAGGCTCAGAGCTAACTGGTGTGAAAGTGTGGTTTCAGATGGTAAAACTAAGTTGAGCTTATCCACAGACTCTTCCTCTCTTAAGCATGCCATATAGCTGTTTTTCCTTATCAGTAAAGTACTCCTGCTTTAGCAGAGTATGCAGCGGGTAGCAAAACTTCACAGTTGCTTTTGCAGCGTAGGGCCAAATCCTGGCCATGCTGCGGCAGAAGTGAACGGGAGGTGTTCCCGTAGAGCCAAGGGCAGAATGTGGCCCATACTATTAATCACCGATGTGTAGGGTTTGCAGAACCCCACCTATTCCTGTCTGTATCCCTGGTTGCCGTCATAAATCTGACTGATGAGTGTTTGTGTTGTCTGTCTTCCAAGAATGGCAGAGCAAACCTACTTAAACATGCTTCCTTTTCTGTTTGCTCAATCCAGCTCGAGCAAAAGGTAGCCCAAACCTCAGGGTAAAGAAAAAGTGCTTTTGGGGTGGGATGATGCAGATGAGTCATGCTCGGGCCTGGATGGAGACTCCTTTGTCGGTTTAGGGATTTTCTACTCGGGGACAGGGAGTTTCAATGTTAAAACACGGTGGATGTTAAGTGTTAGGTGCCGCCTTAGTCGGGCCAACTGGTGTGTCTCAGTTTTGTACCACCTGACCCTGGCAGTTGTGTGTGCAAGGACGGGCCAGGGTGTTTCCTATGGAAATGCAGACAACTTAATCCCAGTCCCTCCCTAATCAGCGGAGCGTTTTCGCTGACTTCAGGGGAGCCTGGATTTGGCCCCGTCAATAAAGCTTTATTTCCATAAGGATCACACAGAAAAGTCCGATGTAAATGATGGTGTATCATCCAGCTGTGTGCCGTAACCTACATTCGGGAACACGGGGCCATCCGGGGAACTCCTGGGTGACCTTCCAGTGTTATGCTAATGCGATGTCAAGAGCGCGTAACCATTTGTGCGACTCTTTCCAACCCGCATCTTGAGAGCGGTTTCTGGCCCTTGCACACAACATGTACACAACAACACTGGAGGACGTGCACTGTACATGCATCTGACCTTCAGGAACCATTTTTAGTTCATCAAAATTAGTGATGCTGAGAAATCAGGACATCAGTGCATAATGACTGTGAAATTAGGAATGAGAGCTCGCTATGCAAATGACAGGACAAATCATGTGAAAAAGTCAAGATAAACTGCATATTAAGACATTATGTTACATAAAATTAATACTGCATTTCTCCCTTGCTTACTACTACCCTGAAAGATTTTTTTTAAACTCTTTTATCTTCTGATCAGCTATTGTCTGCTGATTTTTAAAAAGTAGTGCATAGAAAAAGTGCAAAACATGTTATTACCTTTTATTGTAATACATGAGATGACAGGAGATCCTTTTTAACAAAGTATATCCTTTACTGCTTTTAGTTTTGTGCTGTCACATATTTGATTTGAAACTATAGAAAAGTACGGTGCTTAAATGTTACCGTTAAAAGTCATATGAGTTTTGTCTTCTCGCTATTGTTTTTTCCCCCCTTTTCTCTTTTCTTTTCCTTTTTCAGGGAGGGGGTTTCTTGTGAAATAGTCTTCTTGCTTTACTGGGACTGACAAAATGGTTCTCATGTAGTCTGCAAATTAAACACAAGTGCAGTGATTATTTTGAATAGCTAAATTACATTCTAGAAAGCTTGCAGAATTCATAGCATTGTCATTAGGTATCCGCTTGAATACAATTTGTGTAACCTTGGCCAAGACAGCCTGTCATTTTAATGTCAGTGTTTTATCTGAACAAGACATCATCCTTTCAGATACAGTGTACAGGTTCCTTGCAAAGATGCCCGTGCAGAAACGTGTTAACAGTTGCAAATATGAAATGCTATCAAGTTCATCACTGTAGCTGTTTGTCACTGAAATGTCATGGAAAGCGGCTTTTAATGGTATCTCACATAATATGAAAGAATTGAAGACATCTGTATGCTGGGTGAATATGGAATGGTAAAGACATTGTAGTAGGATCTTTCTGCTAAAATTGCGTAGAAACACAGGTGCCGTTATTCATATCGCTGAGCTTTGCTTCATTTTCTTAAAATCGCCGGCTTAAAAGGAGATGGGAGACCTGCTTGGGTTTTTTTTTAGGTGGAGAGTGTTTGACTGGACTCTGTCTTGTGAAAATAAATGACTCGGAAGAGTTGTTACTGTATTTAGTTTTGTTTGAAATCATTCTCCTTGCAGTAGCGTTTTGGAGGAACAAAACGGGATCGGTGCTTTTCTGTTTTATTCTGGTGGGCTCTAAAGGCTCTCGCACCTCCTGTTACTTCAGGGCAAAACAAAGGCTCAGATTTATGCAAGGCAACACAAGATGAGGTGGTGTTTTAACTGAAGCAGCTGGGCAGGCATTAAAAAGGGGGTAAATAATTCTGATGCTTGCTACTAGAAAGCAGACTAAAGTATAGAAAAGTGCTCTGACTTCCTCTCTGTGGTCTGTTTAATGCTTCAGGTTCCAGTGTCAGTGGCTATGATGACACCTCAAGTGATCACTCCCCAACAAATGCAGCAGATCCTCCAGCAACAAGTGCTAACTCCCCAGCAACTCCAGGTCCTGCTCCAGCAGCAGCAGGCACTCATGCTTCAACAGGTAATTGTTTCTTGAACAGCTGTCGAGACGGCTATCGTGGGTAGCAGAGGGCTACCATCCCTTAACTATGCCTGCAGTCAAAGCTGCCTAAATACTGGTGCCCATATTTCCTATGTGAGGCGAGCTGGTGCCTCTCTTGTTTTGAACACCAGCAGCCTTTCCCAGCTAGTTGAATTATCACTTAAAGGTGTGTGAATTAAGTGTCGGGGCTTTTACAAATGCCCCCGTTGCCTTCGTCTTCCTCCTCCAGAAGGTATTGATGTGCCATGATTAACTGGAATAAATGTGATAGTGGCAACATATATATTTTTCATTTAAACTTGTTAAGGCTATATGGAACTATAGGGGCCATTAAAATGGTGATGACAGAAACACAGAGCCGTTAGCGTAGTGCAAGCCTTAAGCCTTTGAATTTCAACGAGACGTGTACTTTGGTGCATCCGTCTTCCCAGGCACAGCATTTCATCGCGTCCCATTTCAGCTGAAAAGTTTCACGAAATGAAGTATGATTTGGAAGTTTACTTATCTTAATGTGCCGCACAACATTAATTCATTAATTCCATGATGACATTAAAGTCCACTACAAGCTGACCTTGCGTACTCTCTCCTCGCTGTCACTCTCACTCACTCACTCATTCAACTGAGTGGATGTCTCAACCGCATCCATCTACCATCCATCTGGGCAGTAGGGAGAAGGAGGGGTATTATCCATGATGTCTATGCATGCATTGAACAACACTTAGTGCAGTCAAACCCTATCATTTAGAAAGCATGTATATGTTTCACAACAGAGATTTACCAGGCTCTCTCAGCAAGGGCATTTTGGCTTTGTTGTTACAATCAAAGGTCATTCCTTGCCTTATTTTAATTAGTTTGTGTAGAAAATGGTATGTTTTTCATCAGTTCATTTTGGAGATTACTTTTCAAACGATAATGCCAAGAATAGTCAGTGTGCACTGAATTTATTGTCGAGTTTCAAACTAAAGGTCAGACCATTACAGATAAAAGGATGCTATTTTTCAAATCACAGTTTGTGTATTACACCAAGAGGGACACTGAATTGGCTCTCCACTTTGTTACTCACCGTCTTTCCTTTTCTTTGTAGCAGCAGCTTCAAGAGTTTTATAAGAAACAACAGGAACAGTTGCAGCTTCAACTTTTACAACAACAACATGCTGGAAAACAGCCGAAAGAGGTACAGACAATACCCATTTTACTTTCAAACCACAGATCCCAGAGGACTGTCTGGTGGCTATTAAACTGTCATTCGTCTTATAAATGATTGCACAACTGAGCTGACTCTATCAGGTCTCAGCTTTCAGGGCTAGAGTTATTGTCCTGTTTTCTCCTTTATTTTCCTGTGCTTTCCATTTGCTGGCTGCCACATATTTTATAGCCCAGGAACATGCCTTGCTCTTTGGTGTGACTATTGGCACAAGTGCCTGGACTGGTATCTTGGGAGAGTGTTGTTAGAAGTTAGTTATTTTACTTGGGGTAGGGAAAAAAAAAAACCTACTAGTCAAGACACGGTGAAGTCGAAGTAGGGAAGTACTTCAAGACAACGCGAGTGAAGCTTTGCTGGATCAAGGCAGAAGCTCAGGTTACACATTTGTCATGGTAGTTACGTACAACAATGTTGTTGTGACAGAGACCAGCAAAATCTGAGATGCAAAGATAGGGCTGAAAGGTCATCCTCCATCCACTCCCCGCATTGTGCCTTGATACCGCAGCACAGTAACAGGAGACATCGCTCTTTTGTCCCTGGGATACTTCAGCGGGATGGGAGACGCGAGGGCCAAGGCGTCTGTCTGAGCCTGGGACACACGTGCTCTTCTAAGCACCTGTCCGAGCCTTGGCTATTGCACATTTAAGTTCAGTTTCCTGTAGATTGATTTTTTTTTTTTTTCAAAATTTTTTTTTTCCACTCCCAAGTCCTCTCTGAAGGGCCACGAAGCAATGTAAATCCCAGGCCGGGGACGGTTTTAGCATCAGTCTGTGGCATCAGTAGTATGCTGCTGTTTAGCATAGGCTGCTGCGTGATGTCCTTTGCTCGCTGTGCTGGTGAGACAGTCATGCTGCGCTAAGTACACATCTAAAAAAAAAAAAAAAAAAGGGGGGGGTCT